TTTTAATGATTGCCATTCTAACTGGCGTGAGATGGTATCTCAATGTTGTTTTGATTTGCATTTCTCTGATGACCAGTGATGATGAGCATTTTTTCATATGTTTGAAGACTTAAACATAAGACCTAACACCATAAAAACCCTAGAAGAAAATCTAGGCAAAACCATTCAGGACATAGGTATAGGCAAGGACTTCATGACCAAAACACCAAAAGCATTGACAACAAAAGCCAAAATAGACAAATGGGACCTAATCAAACTCCACAGCTTCTGCACAGCAAAACAAACCGTCATTAGAGTGAATTGGCAACCAACAGAATGGGAAAAAATTTTTGCAGTTTACCCATCTGACAAAGGGCTGATATCCAGAATTTACAAAGAACTAAAACAGATCTCCAAGAAAAAAACCAACAAGCCCATTCAAAAGTGGGCAAAGGATATGAACAGGCACTTTACAAAAGAAGATATACATTTCTGTGAATTTCAATCGTTTTCGGTAGTTAGAGACCACAGAGTTATTCCCTGGTGTTGAATCTAATTTGCTAAAGGCATCATCATTGTTTCTCATGACCTAAAATACCACCCTTTGGTGGGCAGGGAAAAAAAGCAGAAGTTAAAATCCCTCTATTATCACATTTACTTCAGAGGAATCTTCCCAGATGTGAAGGTCCATGTAACAGGCTCAGAAATAACCGATAGAGACAGTGCATTTAATCACTGATAGGAATGAAACTTAAGAGAAAATCACATGCTTTGATAAGTCATGCCATATGAGTGAAATCATTATGCCAGCACGTGGTAGCTTATAATCAACTGAATCTACCGCTATATTTCACATGAGCTGCAGAGAAGGCTCTGGTGCAATGAATTTCAGAGAGTAGTGAGAAGACAACCCTGATGGCAGCTGATGTGAAAGCTGCAGTGAGAAGAAAATAAGCAGGATTGGGCAGCACTCTGTAAAGCATGAGTCAGGGTAAAAAAAATAGGAAACAATGCCATGGCAAATAAACTGCAGATGCTTCCAATTAGGCGAAAGTGTGCTTGCTCCACTCACACTTGTCATCCAAGGAAAACTGCAATGAAAATGGATCTGATTCACTCGTCTTTCACGCAGAAGCGTAGCATGTGCACAGGAAACCATACGAAATGTAGATCAAAAATGAGCTTTTATCTAAGAAGCTATAAAAAAGCATCAAGAAAGATGTGTGCTCGTGACACTAAGAAGTCGTATTTGAATAATAAAGCCTTCTCATTTTGTCAGTTTGGTTCAATAGTATTTTTTAAGACTGTCTAGTTTATAAATGCCAAGATATAAGGTACTGAGTGATTTTTTCCTAAACAATGAACTCTGCTGACACCACCTTGTCTTTTGCATAACTGCTACCCCAATACTATTTTCTGACTTTATATTGTAATCTTATTCTAAACACGTGTCAGTTTTTCTCTATTGCAATCTAACCACATATTGTTATTAGACTTAAACTTTGAAACACATTTCTGAACATATCTCCTTAATATTAATAAAAATAAATGATTTACCATTGTCATTAAACAAAAGCCACACTTCCTAGTCTGACCCTTGGGTTTACATTTTGGTTTAATCTACTAGCTTGGCCTTACCATCCATATCAACTTTGTATACACCATAGATGAGGCAATTAAGACAGCTTGCTTCGCTACTCTTGTGCTACCAGGCTCAGCTTCCATCTCTGCACATCCAGCTCCAAGTTCATGGTTCAAGTCAGTTCCACAGCTCTCCCAATAGCTAGAACTCTACAACCTCTGCCCTCAGCATTTTTCTAAGAATGCTTAGAAAATGTGTTACTGCTATTAACACATATGCACACACACACGCAAAAAACACCCATATATACACACTCAGCTGTAGCAATTATTCTGCCTGAATCAAATCCTAGCTTTGCCAATTACGAGCTGTTTAACACGGGGCATTACTTAACCTCTCTGTGCCTTAGTTTCCTCAAGTATGAAAAGAAGGATAATCATAGGACTTACTTCAAAGGGTAGTTGCAGGGAATGAATGACTTTCTGTACAGGGCTAAGAACAGTGCTTCATGTATAGTTTGCCCTTTGTAAGTAATTCGGTGTTATCCATAGCAGCAGTCATAGTAAAGGTATTAGAGTTGCTGTTATTATTTTTGTATCCCTGGCAGTACTTTCATGTGATGTCATGTATTGCTCATGATCAGCAAACATTTATAGAGTAAAGCAGTAAGTAAATGAGCATACTGTAATAAATTTTAAAATGAGAGTAATGCACTAATTTGCTATTACTTTTAAAACCTGCTTTAGGAATGCTCTCTTACTAGTACCAGGACTTATCGTGTACTCTCTAGAAAAAAACACATTTTTTTATTAAGGAAGAACTAAAATAAAAATAAAGCTCTACTAACTGGAAACTTGTGGATTAGCTACTTTTAAAAAGTGCATTATTTTAGTGTGCACTTCTGGAGAAGCGAACATTTATCAACATTTATATTTGATATCCTTAACTTCAATAAATGTACACAAAACGAAAATCGAGTTCAGTCCAGTATAACAGTAATGACAACCAAATGGAGTTTTTAAACTTTCCCAATTGACTTTATACTCATTATCTCATTAAAGTTCTTTTGCTCTAATGAGCTAGACTTATGGGAAAAGGTTTAAAAATAAAGTCGACAGAAAAAAAAAGAAAATTAAGTGTGATCTAAAAGTCAGCCTCATCTATTCTCTATCAGCGTACAGTAGCACGGAGAACTGAAGAAACACTCTTCAGCCTTTGAAAATCAATGTGCATTTCATAGAGAGCTGCTGCCTTTCAGTCATAGCATTTTACCCTGCTGTCTTATAACTATGTCCTGCACTAAATTTTACATGGCCCCAGACTCCTATTTAATTCTCACAGCTGGGAGACAGGACCAAGTCCAGCCAAATCTGTTTTCCTAGAGTGCCTACAAATCTCCCCTTTAATAATTTACTTTCTCTACTATAATGGCCTCTAACTAAGCTCTAATAGATTTCATCACACAGTTGCTGCTTTAATCAGAGAAGAGAGTTTTATGGGTTTATTAATCATGCTCTTTTCAAAAGCTGCTGATTAAGCATTTGCCTGATGGTGGTGAGCAGTCAGAAGGTATCATCGAGGCTGTTTGCTCACTGAGTAGCAGCCTGCAGGCAGCTTTCTCACAGGACTCACAGCAGACGGCATACAGCTAGTGCCAACTAAGCAGACTGAAGTTTCAACTGCCCGCCCCCCCGCCCCGCCGTCCCAGCTCCTAGCAGCAGGTCGTTCTCAGCAATCTTCTCCCCACCATTTTATTCACCAGGACTTTTCCAGCAGCCAATAGCAAAATTCCTTCCTGCTCCCCACATCCCAAAGCAGCTAAATTATTTCTGAAAACTGAATGACATGCTTGGCAAAAGAATGTTTTCCACCGTGAGGCGCTACTTACAACAAGGTTTACTTTGGCCTACTCAGGCGGCAGACCCACTAAACACCATCTCCCCCCTCTCCCCGCCTTCTAGGAAAGCGGCAACTGAAGCCACATAGTCCCTTTATGTGTTATAGTCAAGGCACCAAATAACAGCCAAACAATACAACGAGACTTCCTGGATTCAAGAAAACCCTTATTTCTCCAAGGCCAATTTACAGGGCACTCATAGGAACACAGATTCAGACCAAACACCAACCAAGCTTGAGGTTTTGTTAGAAGACAAGACACCAGGAATAAGTAGCAAGTACTGTTTTTGAAAGAAAAATAAACTCATATTTATTGAATTTTTTTACACTGAAGATAATTGTTTTCTTCCAAATGCATAGCTATCTGGAAGTTCTTCACAGTTCTTAGATATGAGTGCAAATTTCCCTATTCCCTTATTACCAAGTAGAGAAGAGGAAAAAGATCCCTGGGGTAAATGTAGTAATGATTGGTCCATGACTTGTATAAACTTTTCTACATTTGGTTTCTGAGCAAATAGTGAAAGCAATATTTCAAATTCTCAACCTGGCCTAAGTGTGTTAGATGTACTTCTTTGACTTAAAATGATCAGATTTCTAAAATTAAATTTGTGCTGGCATTATGAACATTATCTATGTTGATGTACCTGTAATTAATCACTAGAAAATGAGCAATTCTTTGTTTCAGTATGTGTTTTCATATAATGAAACGTGATTTAAAATGATAGTAACTAAACTATGGAAAGAATAAAACAAAAAAATTTTCTTTTTGAGACGGAGTTTCGCTCTTGTTACCCAGGCTGGAGTGCAATGGCGCGATCTCGGCTCACCACAACCTCCGCCTCCTGGGTTCAGGCAATTCTCCTGCCTCAGCCTCCTGAGTAGCTGGGATTACAGGCATGTGCCACCATGCCCAGCTAATTTTTTGTATTTTTTTTTTTTAGTAGAGACGGGGTTTCACCATGTTGACCAGGATGGTCTCGATCTCTTGACCTCGTGATCCACCCGCATCGGCCTCCCAAAGTGCTGGGATTACAGGCTTGAGCCACTGCTCCCGGCCACAAAAATATTTTTAAATTATTTTTTGCTTCTTCAAAATTAAGTTGTTAACAACACAAAGATTTCCTGGGTTAACATTGTAGATATCTTTGTAGATATTTCATCATGTCTATGAAGGTCTGGGGTCTTACATGTTTCTATTTGTATCTCCTATTTTGAAAGAACTAATAGGCAAATCAACCAAAACAGGAGACTTTAGTATGGTAGTTTATACATTGCAGTACACTAAGCAAGGGAAAACATAATATTAAAAACTAATAGTGCTCGCTTTGCCAACACATATACTAAAATTGAAATGATACAGAGAAGACTAATTTGGCCCCTGTGTAAGGATGACATGCAAATTCATGAGCGTTCCATATTTTTAAAACAGAAAATGTAGCCTGGCGTGTGGCAGAACAAGCCTGTAGTCCCAGCTACTCAGGAGGCTGAGGCAGGAGGATCACCTGAACCTGGAAAGCTGAGGCTGCAGTGAATGGTGAAAGAGCCACTGCGCTCCAGCCTGGGTGAGGGAGTGAGACCCTGTCTCAAAACAGAACAACAAAAAAACAAACAACTAATGAAAGAAAGCGTTGTTTTTAAAAACAGATCATTTTAGTTCTCTGTAATGAATTTATAAAAATTAAAAATTTCTTTTCTGAGACGTTAGAAAGTCCCAATGCACACATTTGAACTCCTATCCTTCACACCATATTATATTTTTAAATAAGCAATGAGACATACTGAGTTTAAAAGCTTGGCATATTTAACAGAAAAACAAAACCCCAAACCACGTTTAGCTGGTAATTGAAATAATCATCAGTTACAGTTTTGATATGTGGAGACCATATATGATCTGCTTCAATTGCCTGGAAAAATGGTAAAATAAATCTATAGTTTGGTCCATGTTAATTAAAGTATATTTTATCAGTATTATCCAGGTAGTGCCATGAACACTATTTACTGCTATCATTTAAAAATATATTATAGGCCTAGTGTGGTGGCTCATGCCAGTAATCCCAGCACTTTGGAAGACCAAGGCAGGAGGATCACTTGAGGTCAGGAGTTTGAAACCAGCTTGGCCAATATGGTGAAACCCTGTCTCTACTAAAAAAAATACAAAAATTAGCTGCACATGGTGGCAGAAATTTGTAGTCCCAGCTACTCGGGAGGCTGAGGTAGAATTCGTTGAACCTGGGAGACAGGGGTTGCAGTGAGGCGAGATGGTACCATCATTGCACTCTAGCCTGGGTGACAGAGCAAGATTCCATCTAAAAAAAAAAAAAAAGTTTATATATATATATAGTTTACATATATATATAGAGAGAGACAAAGACAAAACTGTCTTTGTGTACATATATAGACAAAGACAAAAGACAAACTATATGTACATATATATATATATATATAGAGAGAGAGAGAGAGAGAGAGAGAGATAGAGAGAGTCAGCACTCGCTCATCCATGTTAATAGAGGCCAAGACTGTACAGATAAATCAAGTCCACAGATGTTAATTTCTAACTCTCACTTTGTCATATACATATAAGAAAATACTTCCAATTTATTTCTGAGTTTTTGTGTCAGGCATGTCTTAATCTTGCACCTGAGTTTTACAAGAGATATGAAGTAGTAGAAATTTAACGTAAATCAAAATTAGGTTTAAACCTTAATTACCACTAACTGTGGGCAAGTTGCTAGCCTTTTAAAACTTTAAGTTCCTCCTCTGTAGAGTTAACAACACTTACATACTGGGATTATTGAAAGGCTATGTACACACTAACACATAGTAGGTGATCATAAATGGGACCTTCTCTCTATTTTCTGACTTTTCCTCTGCCCTGAGTCTCCTCCCCTTCATTTGCTTCTAACTCACTCTTTAGAATTTTGGAGCATACCATGCCATTGCTGACATTTTCAGATGATCTATGAGAAGAAGCAATTAAAGAAGAAATTAAATAAATCTGATTTTGATTTTATTAGTTGAAGTGACCCAATAGGAACTTTGACACAAAAGAAAGAAAAGCTCTTATAATTATCAAACAAGTCTAAAAGGTATTAGGGTACTAATGGTTTATTTTTTCAGCTAAAGTAACCCAGATTGTTCACATTTTCCATCATTTAGCTTGGTATCTTTAATAAATGTTGGCCAGTCTAACAGTGCTCACATTTCACTTTTGGTTTCTTCTCTTTTAATTTTTTCATGAAACATTTGTTCATATGCATTGTAAAAACAAACAGAAATTAACCGTAGCAATGGCTAAAATATAAACCGCAAATTTGACTGAGTCAGCAGAGGTTTTTTTGGGTAACCCCAAAATTCCATGTCTCTGTGTATTTCAGTCCCTTTGTCAACTTATTACATGATAAATGAAACACATCAGAAGAGCAGAGTAAAAATTAATCCATCTTAAGAGTTCTATATGCTCTTGGTCAGATCCCTGATCCAAAATGAAACATGATCTAGGTTTTGAAAGCACTTTGGTGTCCCAGAATGATTTTACTTGATCAAGTTCCCAGAAAATACATGGTTCAGCCTGACAACAAATTGTCAGATAGTCAGTGGGGAAGTGCTCTACTTCTCCTCAGTGGAAAACATAAAGATCCTATCTATTTTGTTTATTTTAAATTTTTGATATAAGAGTGTTCTCTGTCATCAGGCGTGGATATTTATTATTTATTTTGTAGTATGAGTTTTGTATTGAAGTACAGAAATGAATAAAATGTAGTTTTCCCTGAAAATTTTCTCTAACCTTTCATTCTTTGTCTATTCCCTTGACTTCTAAATAACTCTTGGTCTGCTTTACCCCTCAAAGCCTGACCTGTAGTGATTCAAGTTTGAACATAATGCGCCAAACATTTTATTCACCATATTAAGTTATGTGTTGGGTACAAAGAATAACAAGGTTAGTTAGCTCTGGTACTCGAGGGATGTCCTGGTTGATTCTAGAAAGCACAGACACAAAGCAGCATGTATACTCATGTATATCATCCATCTTATACATTGTATATTTCTTCCAAAATATTTGAAACCAGAAGTGTTTTGGACTTTAGATGTTTTTAGATTTTGAAATATTTGCAGTAAATATTTACCAGTTGAGCAGCTCTAATCCAAGAATCTGAAATCCAAAGGTTCCAGTGAGCATTATTTTGAACCTCACATCAGTACTCAAAAAGTTTTGAATTTCGGAGCAGTTCAGATTTTGGATTTTCAGATTAGGGATACTCAAATTGTATATGCATACATACCTTGTAGGAAAGGATGAGGGAAAACAGTGAAAGAATAAGATGACACAAGAAAGAGCCAATCATATTTAGGAAATGGCCAGTGGACATGCTTCTGGTTCTCTAATTTACTCATAATGCCAGAAATGGGATCACTGCACAAGATATTTTCAATGTATTTGTAAGGTCTACTTATATCACTTATTGTCAAGAAAGTGTTTGGTTTGCTGACATCTAGACAAGAGATCAAACAACACTGACTAAAATAAAATATTGATTGTGGACCTAACTGTAGGGCCAGTTTGTTGGTAAGCCAGGGAAATGATGTTGAAGGAAAGTTCAAAACTGAATTGCTTAAATAATAGCATTTCCTTTTTTTCTTCCTATCATCTTTCTCAATTTCTGTGATGAGCTCACTAATTAAAAATACATTTTGATCAAGGTCTGAAACTTACATACCTCTCAGAGTTTTGGACCCAAAGGTATGAAAAAAAAAAAAAAAAAAAAAGCCACAGAGGCATGCAACCAATAACTACCAAAATTTGAGTGAATTAGAACTTTTCTGTTTTGCCACACTAGTCCGAAAGCCACAGGCATTCCACCACCCCAAAAGGATCTGGAGAAATGATGGAGAGAATAAAAAATGAACAAAGATTGTACATAATTGTGCTGTTGCATTCTTATTTCAACAGCCATAGAAAGAGCCCCAAGTTTCAATTCAAAGGCCTCGCCTGCAAAAATAACATCCATCTCCTCAGCCTTCCTTCTACTGGTCCTTCAAAATCATCTCAGATGTCACCTCCTCCAAGAAGTCTTCTCTAACAGGCTTACATTGCAGACTGCAGGGTGTAGGCTTATGGTATCCTTTGTTCATCAGGGCATGAATTTCCCAATAAATCTGCAAACTATTTGTTAATCTTTAAAAACGCTGTCTTTTTCTATGCTTAGTGTTTTTAGAAGATTTTGGATTGCTGTTAATATTCTAAAAGGTGGCAAAATGCATGAATCCAATAGTTCTTTTACGTTATTCCCCCAAGTATCTATTCTCTGAGATTTTGAAATATTTTCCTCATTCCATTAATTCTCTATTTTGCTATAACCACATGGCCCTTTCCCCCAAGTAACCTTGACATTTATAGGCTAAAGGAACAATACTATAACAGCCAAGACTGGCCAGACAGGCTTTAAAACTCAGCACTGACTATGGGATGGGGAAAATCTGATTTGTATGTGTTTGACTTTTGTAAACTAATTTGTAACTTAACTTAGATGACTTCACTAAGATTTAATAAAATCCTGTCATTACATTCAGGCTTCAGACTTTTTATGTTTGCTAAATGTGGTAGAATAATCCAGAGCTGGTTTCATTTCTTCAGAGCGTGAGAGACTGTATTATTTGAAAGAGAAGTTTTTGATGGTTAAAAAAAGGATACATGTTTCTCTGACACTGGAAAATAAAAGTGGATAAAATTAAAGTATTTTCCTAAAAAGTATCTAGTTACTCATTTTCTAGTTTTCCTGAGTCTAGGAAACTTTCTCTCTAATTTTTCTAAAGTTATAATTGAAATTAGTTCCTGAAAATAATATTTGGGATTAGAAGAAGCTTAGTATCTGGAACACACAGGTCTGGAAGTGAGAAAATCTTGGTCTTATCCAACTTAAAATACTCAGACATATCTTTTTAAAAACTAAATCGATGTCATGACTGTTCTCAAAATGATGCTATACCTGTTCTCAAAATCACCCAATCCCTCCAACCCCCATCCAATAAAATCTGGTCTTTAGCCTAGCCTGCCAGGTGTTCCATGATCTGTCTCCATTGCCCAACCTCTCTGCATCCATCTCATTGTTTTTCTCTCTACTCTCTACCTCACCATTTGCCAGAGTTAATGCTGCCTCTACTGATTGTTTCTCAAATCACCAGCATGTGCCTACCCCAGAGCTTTTGAACTGATTGTTGTTCTGCCTAGGATGTGCTGGACAAGATATCTGAAAGGCTTCCCCTCTCCCTTAATTCAAGTCTCTGCACAAATGCCACCTCAATCAGATGAGTTTTTCTCACCAGTATTACAATAGTGCCCCTTCTCATTCTCTTTTTTGTTATTTGATTTTTCTTCATAGCACTTATCATTATGTGACATATGTATATTTACTTGTTAAAATTCTTTAACTGTCTCTTCAACCCAAATGTAAATTTCACAAAAGCAGAGGTTTTTTTGTCTCATTTTGTTTGCTGCCTAGTTCTTGTTCGCTGTTGTTGCCTGGTGTCTATAATGGTACCTGATGCTTGTAGGCACTCAGTAAATA